TCCTGGTACCGCCACATCAACACGCCGACTGCGGACTTGAGCTCTACGTTCGTATCTTCTTCAAGGCAAGCCCTACTGCCTCTTCAGCTCCCCAGGAGCCGCCAAAACCAAAAACTCCTTTTTTTTTCTTTTTTTTCCTTTTTTTATTATTATTATTTTTTCTCTGGTAGCGGGCAATAATCTGCAACCGAAGCACGGTTCCACTAGCAAACGAGTAAGGTAAACTGTGCCCCACAAACACCTATGGGACATCTGCGGGACATCATTGCTATGGATTTATATTCTGAAGTGTTTCGATGGCTCCGGTCTATTCGTGGTGAGCTGCACCTGCTGGAAAACGGGTCCAGCGTCCCAAACATTCATAAGAGTTCTCAAAAGTCATGTTCACTACCTCTATGTAATATCAGCAAGGCTACAGCCAGTCTTGATCTAAAAGGTTCTCAAGTGGTTCTTAGACAACTGGAAAAGGGTATTGCACAACTACATTCACGTTTCTCTTGCTGGGGGGCGAGTGTGTTTTTTTTTTGTTTTTTTTTTTGTGCTTTTTCTTTTCAGTTCCCAAGAATGGGAGGCAGGAAAATAAAATAGAAAGACTCATTTTGATTGGCAGCTCTTCAAAAACTAAAGTACTCGAAGGGCATGTTTTTGACCCCCTTCTTTTTCCCCGTCAATTGTAACCCCATCCGGTACTTGATTTTTCTCTCAAAATATATCATGGCAACCGTCAGAGAAGGGAGTAATCCCTCGCGGTGGTCCGCGAGACTGCAACAGTCACATACCACTCTGTCCTGATTAGGCATTGGCTGGGTGGGGAGCAGGGGGAGGAGACGGGAGGGTTAGTGGCACAGCAGCACTTTCAAAAGTCGGCCTCCTTCCCATCTTGGGAAATGTGACTTTGCCATTTATTTTTTTTTGAAGTCTTTAGAAGTACTTTTCTTCCTTTTCTTTTTTTTTTTTTTTTTTTTTTGGACGAATAGCCCATATGTAAACCCACTATCCCGGCGGTGGTAAGAGAACCGTCAGGATTGAGGGTTTGACTGTCGGGCTGCTCCATCTATTGGTGGGGAGCGGAACCCACTATCCCGGCGGTGGTAAGAGAACCGTCAGGATTGAGGGTTTGACTGTCGGGCTGCTCCATCTGTTGGTGGGGAGCGGCACCTGCTGGAAACTGGGTCCAGCGTCCCCTTGATACATCTTATAGCACTAGTAACACCGTTTGTTTGTTTCTTGCGGTTGTGGGCTGTTTCCATCATAGACTCGGGTCCCCTTTGTCCCATGGAGCTGCTATTGTTTCCCTTCCCTTCTTAGGGCACCCCGTATTTGTTAAGCCAGCCCTGGTCAGCAGCCCACCATTTGAATGCCTCACCTATGTCCCTTGACCCCTTAAACCCTATACCCTGTACACTCTTCAAGCTCCTCCCGTCGGCCTTCGTAATCCTTGAAGCCAGTGGCTCAGGCTACATCCCCAGTAGCGACTGCAGCCCTTTGGCCAGTGGGGCTCACATCTCCGCCCGGGCCGAACCCTGATGTAATTGCCCGCTGTTGTAGTCTAGCTGTCCAGTCGATCCCCATTTATCGTCGCCTCCTCCTGCTACTGCTGTCTGATTCTTGTGGTGAGCTGCAGCCGTTCTAGTGCACAGGCCTCCAGCAGCACCCTTTCTCCCCCGGACTGTGACCTGGGACGATGTGCCTCCTTTTCCCTTTCCCCTTGCTGCACAGGTCCTAATAGGCCATGACTCGTGTGCTAGTGGAACCGTGCCCCCGGAGGTTTGAAATTCAGTACCGGTGTTCCTGGTATTGCCACATCAACACGCCTACTGCCGACTTGAGCTCTACATTCCTATCTTCTTCAAGCCAAGACGCCGCACTCCTTGCCCCGAGTTCGTGCACACGTTCTCCACATCCTGAGCGATTACCCGTCTCTGACCCACGGTTCAAGTCTGCGAAATTGTGCGAATACCGTGATTATGGTGTTGCGGTTCAGGATGAATACTTGGCTGCATTAATATGGGGCTCTTTCTACCTCCTCCTAGACTGCCTCTTCGCCCAACTGCGCAGGGGGCAATATACGAACATTGACAACGTACAATATACGAACATTGACAATGTACAATATACGAACATTGACAATGTACAACTGGCTCTCCTCCCCGTCTAAGCCCTTGAACCGGAAAATAGTGTCCGCAGCCTACCGTTTTTCTCCCGAACGTAACGCGTCCTGATTATGAATGTATAGAAGCCATCCTTCCGCTCCGATGCAGTCTTGATGAGGGTGCGCTGTGCTCGGGGGAAGACGGTAGTACAGCACAGCTATCGTTAGTGCAGCCACGGTCTCATCACAATCACTGCCATCTATACACAATTAATTAACTCTGAACCTGACCCTGATCATACACACTGGGTGACACTGCAATCTAGTACATAATTACAAGTAATTAAATCTGAACTACACCAGTAAGTAGTTAATATGGTACCTCTGCCAATAGCGGGTCGATCACCGTCGGTAACTTTCTTGGGAAGGGGTAGCCGAGATTGCAACCCCCCCTTCCCCCCCCCCCTCCTCCCTCCCGCCCCCCCGATCATGGGTCTCGCTTCACTACTCGCCAAATGTGAGGAGTGGTATGTGTATCTTCCCATGGAGGCTGGAAAAATACACTCACCATGTTTAAGATTAAAAGAGTAATATAATGCAGCGAGGCCTCATGTTAAGCGATAATCACAATCCATCCCGGCCAGGCGCCTTAAACCCACGAGAGAAGCCCCTACACGTAGGCGCGTTGCCGAAGAAAGTTTTAGGATGGGCTGCCTTCTTCCCCCGAGTACAACGTGCGGTCATTGTAGCTGTATTTGAGGCATCTTTCAGTCTAGATACAGCTATCACGACCGTATGTTGTATTCGTGGGAAGAAGGTAGGCCCCGGGTATGTTTTGAATGTACTTGGCTGTCGACCTCTCTGTAGGGCGACTCGTTCCCGTCTTTATTCGGATAGAACGGCCGGGCCTTATAGCTGTATTTGTGGCAACTTTCAAGGGTATAATTGGTAATTTGGTACCCAACCCGAAGGTTTTGGGCGTAGACAGCCCATTAGGTTTTTCGATGGGGGTGTTCTACCAATAGTAGAGACTTTCAGTCCACAGACACAACTATGATGACTGCGCGTTGTCTTCGCCGAAGATGGTAGGACTTTCCAGTGCGTATCTCCTCAACTACCTTGCGGCCGAATTCAAAGCCAAGACAGCACAAGTACGGCCATGATCGTAGTAATTCTGTACGTATGACCGAAACCCTCAAGGCTGAACTCTACCAACTGCATGGGCTGTTGCGCGGAAGTAATCACCCTACCAGCGCTTCTGCGCTCCTCAACCTTCTTCCAATACAATCGGGCAAACGCGGTCGTACCCTCAGTATAGTACTGCATGCGGCGAGGCAACAAAACCACTGACTGACTGATCTTGGCGCTCAACATTACCAGAGAATTATTTCCACAAACTGGCTGAGCTTCTGACATGCTAAACGCATTACCGGCGAGTTAGCTCGTTTGTTCAAACCTCTCGACCCTTGACCGGTACAGTGTAAGCGCCCAAAGTTAGCAGAGAGGGTACGACAGTGACTGGCACAAACTGCCTCAAGGATCGAGAGTTTAGCAGAGATTTCACTCCAAACTTCTTCACATGGTAAAGACGTCGAAAATGCTGCGAGGATATCATTGCAAGGAGATCATCGAATTCCTATGCTCCAACCTGCCTTTGTTTTTAGAGAACATTCCTTTTTCTTTTTTTTTTTTTTTTTTTTTTTAGAGAACATTCAAAGTGGGACACAAAGGGAACCGCTCGGCGCGCGGACTGCCGAAATCCAGCTCGAGCTGTCACGCCTTCCGAATTCGGACTGCGCAATCGCTTTCTAATCTCATCCTTCTACTGCCCCAGAGAGTTTTAACGACATTCTCGATAGTCATGACAACACAGTTACGTCCGCCTCTCTCTCTCTCTCTCTCTCTCTCTCTCTCTCTCTCTCTCTCTCTCTCTCTCTCTCTCTCTCTCCTGTCTCTTATACACATCTAGATGTGTATAAGAGACAGGTGTGTGTGTGTGTGTGTGTGTGTGTCGCGCGCGCGCTTGCGTGATGTGTGCGCGCGTGTACAGCAGTGCGAACATGGGCGTGTGCATCGTGACCGTCTCTGGGAGGTAATCGAAATTCTAAAGCATGCTCCGGTGACTTCTCCGTCGATTTGCGACTCTATGGGCACGTGGTGGTGCGACTTTTAACTGAAAGCAATGTACACGTGTCTATTTATTGACAGACATGATTGTAGCTGACGCGAAGACACAATGTGTGGCACACGCGATCATCGCATTCCAAACAGGCATGACCTGACTGATGTCGCACTGGGCAGACTACCGTAGGGAATTCACGAAGCTGAATACCTCTGCAGGGTTTGCACAGACGTATGGCACTGCCACAAGGTATTCAGCTTTGCGATCATTGGTCCCATTTCGATCGCGATGCTGACATCCACACTGCCTCGCTCCATCCTGAGCATCCGATCAGGCTGTCCGCGACGCTCCCATATTGCATACGAACGGTTACCGATCAGTATATGATTGGCTCCGCATCTGGAGCATAGAATCTCTACCATAGCGTTTATCACCCCCATCTCTCTCTCTCTCTCGCGCGCGCGCGCGCGAGCGCACAGGCCTCCCTGTGCGTATGCTTGTGTGTCGAGGTAGTAAAACTTCCATATCAGTGTGCGCGTGAGGTAGAGCGAGAGAGAGCTGGACAGAGGTAGTGTGGCAGACTCCTGCTTCAGGGGATTCTCCTGCGTATGAGGATAATCTGCAATACAAAAAACACAACTTGCCTAAGACTGTGAGCTCCTAATGCGATACTAGCCATACTAACTGGTAGACGATCTTTGGGGGAATAAGGTAGGAGATAGGAGACGATGTACATTGCGAACTGGGGCGTGCATGTAGTCATGGCGGAGATGGACTTATACTCACTTGTTTGAGGAACAAGGCGTCGTCTTCAACTTGTAGCTTCCACTTTTGAATGCAATCGTCGGCATGCGCATCCACAGTCGTCATGGAGGGTTTATAGCTGTCCAAGAGCTGTACAGATCGCGCAATAAGATCGGCAGCGCTCAGTGCGCGCTGGGGGCGGTATCTGAGAGCAGAGCTGCGGGCAGTGCTCGTGTAGCCGACTGTCAAAGTCTCCGCCATCTCCACCTCTCCCTCCCGGCCTGACGGCAGGCAATCCCGAAGCGAGCCGTCCATACCCACCGTGGGCGTAACGACGCTTGTCGACATCTCCTGTGCCATAGCTGATGCTCAAACCCTAGTCCCTTGCTACGTGTTTACCTTTGCCCTGGCAGCCAGGGTCGGCTGTCCTTCTGTCAGTCAGTCCAAGATTACACGAATCTCGACGGCGAGATTTCAGCAACCCCAGCGTCATTCACAGCTTCCCGCGTTCAGCCACTTCAGCACCAGTCACAATTTCCCGCCTATTGACCTCTCCGAACGACGATGTGAATCCCCGCGCCCACACAGGGGACTCTGCAGGATCAAGCACGTCAGTCCAGGTATGGGTGATTTTGGAGAAATTTGTTTGGGCCGCACGCAATGGGCTCGGCAGCGGCGGCTCAAGTTTGCCCGATGTCGTCAACTCCTATGCCAGCAGCATCAACTACATTGCGCGGGTAATTGGCTTTCATTTCACCCCAACGGTCCTGAACTAGGAACTGAAAAGGAGGTTTGAATTTTGGCGCCGCGGCTGCTCCCCACCGTTGCCTTGGTAATGCGCGCCATCGCAACTCCCCCGCCTCTCATTTGTTCATTTTGGCGCCATCGCTACGCCTAGCCTGAACGGGATGACGGTCGTCAATCCTGAAACCACCAAGCCAACGAAAGCCAACGAAAACCGCGATACACTCGCTGGCTTGCTTCCTCAGACATTTCAGCCGACAACCTGAAAAAAGCGCTTCAGCTACCGGACAGCGATCACCACCTCGTAAGCTCCGGCGCCATTTCAGCCTCCCGCGGACGGCAGCATTTGAATCCCGCGCCGTGGGAAGGGCATCCAAATTTGAACGTTGTACTTCGCCGCTCCAACAGCCCAACGCCAAGTGCAGACGACTATAACTCGAGTGTTATCTGGCATTCAACGACTATAGATAGTCAACGGTTGGCCGCTTCTTACCCTGCTATTCAGTCAACGGCTGGCCCACTTTCTATGATTGGGAAAATCGCCGCTGTACACTTTTCAAAGACGAAGTCAGTTCAAAAAAAAAAAAAAAAAAAAAAAAAAAAAAAAAAAAGACGAAGTCAGACGGGCATTCCGCTCTATTGACATATGTTACGGGCATTTTGGCATATATCTCAACGTATGGGGTACTTCGCAACTGATTTAATTATCCCTTTTTTTTTCTTTTTTTTTTTTTCAAGAGAAATAGCATGCTTTATTATATCTGGACCAAAAGGAGGCCCTTACCCATATTTGGCTCTTACTGGAAACCGGGTCCAGTGTCCCTTTCTCCTATGATGCTTCATGCTATTCCTGAACAAAAACTAAAAACTAAAACTGGATTGACAAAGGGCAAAATAGCAAAAGATGAAAGAACCTGCCTACCATCTTTCCATCCATCCCCAACTTAAGCCCTAAAACCGATCTTTGTAACTCATCCTTCCCATTACCTCCCACACCTCCTCTCTGTCAGCTCTACTTAAACCCTAAACCCTAAACCCTATTGACTTACCGTGAGGGCACAGGTGCGCAGCCCGTAGGTCGTTTGTTTATGTGGTTCGGGAAGGGTAAGGTAGTGAATCTGTTGTATGTATGTTTTGTCATGTTCGCTATACACAA